TGTCAGACACACTGTCAATAACGTAAAAGAAAAAAAAACATTAACAGATGTTAAATTTTAAATTTGGTAAATAAAAAAATTAAAACTCATTAAAAGATTTATAAATTTTGATTATTCGACTGATTAGTACATTAACTTATTTTATTTTTTACTGTATCTAAGTCAGAATAATAGTCCTTTTCTCTTTCTTCACTCAATACTCTTTCTTTGTATACTCAATAATATAAAATTTGTTCCAACACATCCAAGTTCCGAATCGCGTCCCAATCCTCGACAGGTCGTGGACAGGTCGTCGACTATCAGTCGTCGACAATAAGTTGTGGACTGGTTTATGTATGGTCACAAGATTGTTGTTGGAACAAACCTAAAGAATCCGCGTTGCCTAATAATGCGTATTGCATGTGTTGGAGCGAAATAAATGGAAAAAAGGGGAGTTGCGAGATTGGAAGTTGCATATATTACTACTTAAAGGAGTGTTTCTCAGAATATGTACGTTATTCTCAGACACATGTGGCCGGTCAAAACCGAAATCAGTACTTTACTGCAATGCTTCTTTGGGCAGTTCGGAAAATAGAACATATTGATGTCATAGAACAGAAGTTTCTAGAGAGCGGTCATTCTTATATGGAATGCGACAGTGTACATTCGGCGATAGAAGCAACTACTAAACACTCTTCCATTTATTCCGTAAACGACTGGAAAAATATTTTTCAATAAGCTCGCAGAAAGAAAATAAAAAATATCAATGACGTTAAACACACAGTACTGCCATATAGAGTAAAGGAATTTAAATATTTCGTAATACTTGATCTTAAATCATTAGCGGCCAAATTAATTAAAAACAGAATACGAGATGACAATAATCTAACTGTAAACTGGTTGAAAATAAAAAGGCTGAAATATCTTAAAGACCAACCAAATAAAATTTATTATAATTATGACATGTCCACTTATTTTCAAACCATAACCATTTCCAACACCAATCAAAATTTCGAGGATTCACCGTCAACTAGAACCAGAAAACAATGGAAAAAAATAAAGTACCTACGGCAAATAACTTGTCCAAGTGAAATGCCATTTTTATATGACTCGCAGTTGCCAATAAGCAACGCAAAAAAAAGATCTGTTAAAACTCTGCCGAAAAGAAATAATTCCTGAAGAGCTTCATGAGTGGTTCAACAAGTTCAAAATAGCAGCTGATGTTGTAGATCGTATACCGGACCTAGACGTCAACAATGAGCACGAATCAGAAGAAGAATCTTAAATTTTATATTATTTAGCAAATGTATTTTAATTTCTTTAGTATCTTTTTCCTTGTTTTACTTAAGTTTTATAAGTTAAGTAATGTTTAGCTTATTTCTGTTGTTATTTTACCTAAATAAATTTTTTAACCAGTGTGTTTTTTTAATTGTGAAGGGAATTACTTAGAAAAACTCTTTGGAACTTAATTTTTTTAAACTAGGTAAGTAGGATAAAAACGGTAACTACTCGCTTTTAAGTTTTTTCAGACTTTTTATTACATTATTCAGTACATGATAATAACTTATCTGATCATTCCGTGAAATTATCTAATAATTAGTAGAGCGAAAACCCGATAAGTCGGCGCCTGAATTTAGAAAAAAATTGAAAGTAATCCCTTTAATCTATATAATATTTACAACAAATTGATTGAGGTTAACTATCAAAAGCATTTATTATGAAATTAAAAGGGGCAAAAGATCAATAAAATCTTTAAACACCGATATCTTCATAATTAAATTTTCTTACTTATTGGGTTTTCGTTCTGAACCCTCGATATGTTTTTGAATTCATTTACTTACTTACTTTTGTAACCACTCAAAATAATTGTAAAAATAAAAAAAAAATTACAAAAAAAAATCAAAACAAAAAATATATACCTATAGATTTTTTTATTGATTTTTCATATTGATTTTTCATATTTTTCTTTTTTTTTTAATTTTTTTTATATTATCTTATACCAATATTACCAATATATCACGTACAAGCTATATAGGCTTTGTCCTACACAGCTTCTGTGATTATTCATGTTTATTTATTGTAATTTTTCCTGTTTATATATTTATGTTATATTGATGTAAAATAAACATTATTATTATTATTATTATTATTATTATTATTATTATTATTATTATTATTATTATTATTATTATTATTATTATTATTATTAAAATAGTTATTCTATATTGATTGAGATTGGCATATTTGTGATAAGATATCCTCTTGGAAGAAAGCCATTTTGGGGCTATTTAAAATAATGTAAAATTCCAAAACGAATGAGCAAGTCTCTCATCGGTATAATGTGCTCCATTAATTTCAAAGGAAACGAAAGGAAAGAAATTGGCCTGTAACATTGTAGGTCATACTCATTCCTCAGTTTAAAAATTGCCGTAATAAATATTTTTCAATGGGTTGAAATAGCACTTGATTCGAAAGACAGGAAAGGCTAGCAAAATATGCTTTTATAAATTGAACGAGTTCAAGATTCTATTAATTTAAAATTGTTACTTTTATCCCAACTATGAGATGAAAATATGTTTAGTTACAAAATTAAATAATTTATAAGTAGATTTAGGCAAATATTTATAATATTTTGCAGTTTTTAAAGATATTGGAATATTATAGTCTGGTTCACAAGTGCCATTTCCCTGGAAACCGGTCCTCCAGCACCGAAAATTATTATTTTGAGCTTATTCGATTCGGAATGGCATCTAGAACATTCTATCAAAATTCCAAGAGGGGCCGAAAAAAATGCAAAAGTTATAAACAATAAAGTAAAACAAAAAATAAGGGTATGGTTTTTTGAAATATTTCAAAAACTATTTGAGATAATCGAAATTTGAAAAAAGATCCTTAAAGAGCAGGAAATTTCCTAAAAAAAGTCCTACTCCCGAAACTGTACCAACAACCCTTATAATTTTAATTAAGCGGCGAAAATAACGGTAAAAACGCGTGGTTCGGCTGCCGCGCGCATCGCCCCAATCTGACACATGAACTAAAAAAATTATTTTAACTGATTAAATATTAATATTAATAAATAAAAAAATTTGGGTACTAACTAGACATATGAATAAATAATAATCCGCAAACAAAAAATTTTTATCACTATTTTTTTATTAATTATGCTTTTGTTAATTAGTTAATTTTCACCATTTTAATGTTACCATAAAAACGCTGATTATTTCAAAACAAGAAATCTAAAATTTTTTTGATTTTTTTGAGCTATTGTTAAAAGGGTTTAGAAGAGATCCCCGTTGGAAAAATTAAAAAATTTTGATTTTTAACTTTTTTATTAACAATCAAAGGCATTAAAAAATTATTTAGTACAATATTTTTAAAAGTTAAATAAAAAATAATAAAAATATATATGGTTGTTTTTGTAATATTTTTTAGTAAAAAAAAATATTGCGTAAAATTGCATTTGTTTATAACAAATTGTTATATAATATATATATATATATATATATATATATATATATATATATATATATATATACATATAGTGGAAGGGTAGACTTTGTTGAATAGTAACGTAAAATTCAAACTAATTTATTGGGGGCAGCAGCAATATGTAATAAAGAAAACTCTTTAAAGATGATCCAAGCTTTCGGAAATTTAATTACTTATTTACTCATACTTACTCAACACCAATACAACCCTTCATCACAATAATAGTGACATTATTATTACAGATGAAATCTAACTTTTAAATGACCACCTTTTATAATACAAGTCTGATTAAAAACTTTTATTATTCAACCTTTCATCATAACAATGGTGACAGTATTGTTTTTGATGAAATAATTATACAACATCCTTTCATTCATCACAACAATTAGTGACAGTTTTGTTGATGATGAAATAATTAATCAAACTACATTCTCAGATGAAACATTTATTAAATAATAATTTAGGTACAAAGTAATCTTCCTAACTAAGTTCCTTATTAGTAATTTCTATATTTAATCTAACACACTTGTATACATAAACAAAGAATGACATAAAATTTGACATAACAGTTAAATTTCAAACTTGACGTAATTCTATGTAACTGAATTTTAACTTATATTGTACAACTATGTAATAGAAGTTCTATATGTGCATCACAATCATAACATTTAACATATTTAACATCATTAGTAGTTCATCCTCACAAAGATGTAAGTAACTCACTCTCTTAATAATATTAAGTTCTTATGAAGACACACCACACCTTTTATAGATTCCCTGAAGATGGAAATAAGTAATTAAATTTCCGAAAGCTTGGATCATCTTTAAAGAGTTTTCTTTATTACATATTGCTGCTGCCCCAAATAAATTAGTTTGAATATTATATATATATATATATATATATATATATATATATATATATATATATATATATATATATATATATATATATATATATATATATATTGATTGTTAATAAAAGAGTAAAAAATCAAAATTTTTGAATTCTTCTAACGGGTATCTCTTCTAAACCCTTTTAACAATAGCTCAAAAAAATTAAAAAAAATCTAGATTTCTTGTTTTGAAATAATCAGCGTTTTTGTGTTAACATTAAAATGGTGAAAATTAACTAATTAACAAAAGCATAATTAATAAAAAAATAGTGATAAAAATTTTTTGTTTACGGATTATTGTTTATTCATATGTCTACTTAGTACCCAAATTTTTTTATTCCTTAATATTAATATTTAATCAGTTAAAATAATTTTTTTAATTCATGTGTCAGATTGGGGCAATGCGCGCGGCAGCCGAACCACGCGTTTTTACCGTTATTTTCGCTTCTTAATTAAAATTATAAGGGTTGTTGGTACAGTTCCGGGAGGTAGGACTTTTTTTTAGAAAATTTCCTACTCTTTAAGGATCTTTTTTCAAATTTCGATTATCTCAAATAGTTTTTGAAATATTTCAAAAAAACCAAACCCTTATTTTTTATTTTACTTTATTGTTTATAACTTTTCCTTTTTTTTTCAGCCCTTCTTGGAATTTTGATAGAATGTTCTAGATGCCATTCCGAATCGAATGAGCCCAAAATCATAATTTTCGGTGCTGGAGGACAGGTTTCGAGGGAAATGGCACTTGTGAACCAGACTATTATGCGGAAAATTCAATAAACGCATTATTAGTTCAAACGTAGTTTTATTTTAAAACCTTTTAAATACAGAAACAATGGATAAAGAACCCAAAAATGTGTATTTAAAAAAACAAAACATATTTCTTCACAAAAGCTGTTTTACTGTGTTTGCAATCTATTTTCCAAAACGCACTCAAACTTTAGAAGTACAATTCGTCGGCGACACTGCCAAATTTTTAATTTTCACCAACCCTTCGTAGCACGTACAGTTGATCGGATTTTCACGCAAGTCCAATTTTTGAACTTTCTTCAAATCGTTTCTGATAAACTCGTCAGATAGACATTCTATATGGTTATGTTCCAAACTAAACGTTCCCGAAATTTTGCTAACGTCCAAATCAAATTCAGTCATATCGTTGTGATCTAAATATAACTCCGCGAATTCTTCAACGTTGAATAAATCTTGATGGATGATGTTGATTTTGTTGTAACTGAAGTGAACTTTTAATTTGTGACTAGATAACTTTTCGAATATATTCGGAGGAATGTACTGTATAAAATTGTACTGTGCTGATATGGAAACTAAATTTGGACAATCTTGAAACCAGATAGCGTAAGAAGTTAGTTCGTTATAGTCTAGGATAATGCGCGTCAGATTTGGCATGCTGTCAAAAGCTCCCGAACTAATAGTAGCTAGTTTATTTGAAGATAAATTCAGCACTTCGATTGTTAAATAATTGAAGATACCATCTCTAATTGCCTTCAATGGATTTCCAGTGATATTAAGATGTTCTACAGTTTCCGGCAAATTCTTAAAACTTCCAACTTCGATTTCGTTTATTCCGCAGTTGTTCATTACGAGAACTCGCAAGTTTTTTGCGAAACTCACATCGAAACTCCTCAAGACGATTGGCACTTTTTGATCCACCGCGATTTCGGTGGCGTTTCCTAAAGTCTCTGAAATTTCTCTTCCGGCTGGAAACTGGTGGCCTCGAACGTCGTGCGGTAGGCGGTAAACCACGGAAAAATCGAAAGTCGCGGCGGAAATGAACGTGATACTTTGCAGATAAAACAGTAGAAGTTTTGCGGGAAACATTTTGCGCGAATTTGTATAGTCGGACTGAACTGCGGACTGATTTGTGAGGTAAGAAGAACAATGGGATAAGTGCCGGATGGTTTAAATTTATTAGTTAATTCGCTCGTTTCTATTGTAGCCGCCTTGTTCTAATTTTTGTTGGTGTTTTGTTGCTTACAGCGAGATGGCGAAAACAAATTAGCGGCGTGTCATAGATTTTAATAGATATATATCTACAGGGTGATTCGAAATGAAGTTTCTTGAGCCGTATATTAATGCTGATAATTGGAACGACGCATTAAACCTAAAAGTATTTAATATACAGAGTGTTTCATTAAAAATGTGATATAGAACAACGAAACATGATTAATGTTACTCGTTTCCGAAATATAGGGTGTTAAATTTAATTAATGGCAATAATTTTTTATTACTCAGTATTAATTTTTTAAATTCGGAGAAAATGTTATTATAAGATACACCTGTCAGCAAAACATTTATTAAATTAACTTTGCCAGTGGCGTACGTATTGGTTAAAGAATACCTTCATTCCTTTTAAAGGACCCCGCAATAATCTTATGGAAATTGGGTTCAATCCTCATGTCAGATTGGACAAATGGACCGTTGACAGCTGTCAATTCACGGTCAACGAGGAATATAAAAGTAAATATCCTCTTTTCACATTGAGAGTTTGGGTTGTTAAGGTCGCTGAATTCAATTCTTATGTCAGATTGGACAAATTGACAGTTGACAGCGAAAATAGAATATTTACTTTTATATTCCTCGTTGAGACAGCTGTCAACGGTCAATTTGTCCAATCTGACATGAGAATTGAATTCAGCGACCTCAAAAACCCAAACTCTCAATGTGAAAAGGGGATATTTACTTTTATATTCCTATAACAGTCAATTGATAGCTGTCAACTATCAATTTGTCCAATCTGACAAAAGAATTGAATTCAGCGACCTCAAAAAAAAACCCAAACTCTCAATGTGAAAAGAGGATATTTACTTTTATATTAGGCATTCCAACGACCTGTCAAACAATAGGTGCCAGTGGGAAATTCTTGTATATCTAAGGGGGTAGCGACATAGTCTTGCAGCTTAGACGCTATTTTTATTCAAAGTAGTAGTTGCCAAGCCTGCCAATTTATGAAGAAATGTATAGGTGGGTTTTTTAAATATTATTTTTATTGTGTTTGACATAAAATATTTAAATGTAATCCATTATTCATTATTTTACGTAAAGTAGATAGAATACACCATATGTCGCCACCCTTAGATATACCAAACCTGCCCACTGGATATTCATTTGTTTGGAATGCCTAATTCCTCGTTTGACAGTGAATTGACAGCTGTCAACGGTCAATTTGTCCAATCTGACATGAGGGTTCAATCCAGTGACCTCAAAAACATTACCCTATATATTAGAATAATTAAACTATGCTTTGGACATCTGCAAATAGTAAAATGAAAATGAATAGTTTTGCAATGGGCCAGGGGAGCTTTGGCAGCTGCGTAGCTGCTAAAATATTCATTTTGGCACTTTGTGCCCATGGAGACTTTTGTTCAGGATGATAAAATCTACAACATATCAAAAATTTAGACAATTTGACAGAAATCCAATTTCCATAAGATTATTGCGGAAATTTTACGTCACTTTCCAAAAACTTATTTGGGCTATAATGTAAAGTTTTTTTGATGTTTTTTAAATAAATAATGTACTAACTTTTGTCGAGGACTTATAAAGTGATTGGTTTTCGAAATATTCGCACTCAAAAGTGGATACTCTTCATTTTTATTTATATTTAAATTTTGAAGATTTTTTTTATTAGTAATTTGACTTTCGCCGCTTGTAGTAAAGTCTATGAAGATTTCTTCTTTCGCAGTTGAGAGACCTTTTTAAATTTTTTTGCTAATATGGCTAAATGATTTTTTATTATTACAAAAACAGCTTTCACAAACTGTTCTTCTTCCTTGTATATTTTGACACACTATTTCACATTTGCAAACATTTCTTGATGGGGTTTCTATTATTTTAAAAATAATTACAATTGTTTGTATTCGTCCCCCATATATTTATAAATATTGATTGCACTAGAAGATGGAAAAAGGTTTTTTCCGAAACAAATATATGTAGTACTTAAATTATAAAAAATTAAAACTATTTGACCGAAAAACCCAAAGAACTTTCTATTAATTGCTTTTGACTTGTTTTCTTATTTTAATCGGAAAAGTCGTCGAAGGTACAGTCTCATTATTTTCGAAATCCAGAAAATAACTAAATTACAAGTCTTCTAGCCTCGAGAATATTTAAATTATCCAATTATTAAGAAAGTTTCGCGGATAAAATAATGGGAATTACTACTATTGGAAAAGTTTTTCTCAGACTACTGTCGAGTTACCGTATCCAAAGGGCAAATTTTCCTTAAACGCCAGGGTGGGTTTAGGTATTAGGGTTCAGTAATTTTCTTGTTTAACCACCCTTTGAGGCATACAATTTGGAATATTCGGATAATTATAATATATGGCCTGAACAAATACTTAGGTAAAGAGATAATCTTAGAAAATAAACTCATTTCAAAGGATAATCTATGAACCATTTACAAGAGAACTAAAAAAGGCTCAAATTAAAATGTTTTGTTAAAATAACTTTTAGTTTTATATTATAATAAACTATTTAATAAAATATAATTGCGATTGTTTTTATTAAGGTTATTTCTCTTCATTAGGGTTCTATGTTGTATTCAATTTGATAGACACCATTTGAATGTGCTCACTTAGTTATAATGGGGTTCAAAAAGATACGAAACCAAAATTCAAAAAATCCCTGAGATTATTTTATAATTTTAATAATGAAAATAAATAAAAGAAATAAAGCAAGTTTAATAATAATAAGGAATTTGTAAATTTATTTATATTGACAGGTTTAATGTTCTTGAAATAATTACATATACGTCATACATTGAAACAAAAAAATTTCCCACATCAATATATAATATATCAACATATTCTTAATGTCCTTAATGCCCTTAATTAATAAGGCTTACAGTATTAGCTGATTATTTGACTCATAGTTGAGGAAAACCTGAGAAAAACCTGGAAAACCAAACCTACTAATAATTAGGTTACTAGAAAATTTATAGACCTTTAGAATAAGAATAAGGACAATTCCAGGATATCCTTCTAACAAATGAACCCATTTAAATGCCTTCCTTAATTCATACGTTATCTCTATCCTGGTCCTTATTCCAGCGATCCAACTCCGGCCAAGCTGTTATCGTCCTGGAACATTTCGGGATATATGCGGACATCGCAATCGCTATATCAATAATAGCATTGATAACTGGCGAAATTATTCCGGGTACGCTTGATATAAAATGCGCATAATTCAGCGTGTCCTTGTTATCGCATTTGGTGGCCGGATCGTCCAGAGGACTCTTATCTGCTCCGCTGGACATATATATATCTCTCGAATGTGTCTCTCAATCGGAAGATGATAGAAATTTATCGGGGAAACTGGAGTCTTTAGTTTTTAAAATATCGTCGATGTCAATTTTTGCTGTAATAGCTGGTTTTTAGTAGATAGTCCTTATGAATTTTTGATACGTGCTTTGTTTTTGTCAGTAAAACGTTAGTATGCTGGGAAATTTTAAAACAGATCAGTGGCGACTCGTGGATACTCGGGGCTACCTCTGAAAGGCATTAAGATATACAGTATTTATTATTTTGTATTGGGCATAGCTGTGCTTTCACAGTGAACATGCGGCAACCACGATATCCCCGCTATCCTATATGCTATCTAGCTTTATATATTTAAAAAAAATATATATTTTATATTTATATTTTCAGCACTTTTGGCGTGAAAGAATAACAATTTGTGAGGCGCCACGTATAACAAGAATTAATTAATTTTTTTAAAAGTTACATTTGAAGGGTTTGCGATAAACAGTGTTTGCTGCTGCAAATGAAAACGTAAATTGTTGTGAGAATGAATCAAAGATTGCGGGCTTGCATACATTACATTTTAGAGGACACTTAGATTTATGTAACCGCAAAGTTTTGAGAGGTAGCGCTGATGGAACATTTCGCTTGAAGCATCAAAGTTTTTCTGAAGTAGGTAAGAACTTTTCAGCAAAAATTTTACAGTTAGACGAGTTACTATTCAAAGCAATACGGATTCCGTTCTGGCAAGTCGCCAAAATTTAAAATTTAATGTTTGAGAAGTATTTAAAGGCAGGACAATAAATAAAAATACTTAAATAATGTAACAAATGCCAACAATATGGATAGGGTTAGAATTCGGCTGCTGATAGAATTTTTATTTAATTTAATAAATAAAAAGTTCACTGTGAATGAGATAAAATAATTTAACGTATAAAAGAAGGTATGAATTTATAAACAACAAAAATTAACAATCTTCGTAATTTCTCTTTTCGTTTCTTTCCTAATTATTTTCTTAATGAAACATTTGGCAGGGTGATGAACTAACTTTTTCTTTTGTTAATATTTCTATGTAAATCTCGGGCCATTAATTCCTTAGAAAAACGTCACCCGCCTCCTAAATTATCACCATGTTTCGAAGCAACCGAAGGATGAAAAATAGTGCAAAAATCTTCGTTTCAAAGAGATAAAATATGCGCCATGGTGGAACGGAAGCTCTGAAATTTATGCAAGCTTTCAAAAACTTTTCTGTTAAATACTTTTGCAGTTTAGCATAAAAATGAGAAAGGTTACGCAGTTCTTTAAGTACATTTACGAAGTTTTACATTTTTTTTATTAAATTTGGGGGGTAGTGGAGCGTTTTTCGGATTCGGACCCTAAATATAAATTATCGAAATGGGCAAGAAAAGTTTCTGTTTTAAGCTTGATTAATTGCTGATGTATGTTACCGAAATGAAAAAACTTTTCTTCCAAAATTGAAGTTTTATGCAAGAATATTGTTTCATTATCTATAAATGTCGAGGGTATACCGAATTAAAACTGGCGGCTTTAATATTATTATAAAAATAATCAAATATAATGAGTCAGTGGTTTGATTTTTTTTTAAATCATATTGTTTATTAAATAATATATTATACATCTTCTTTTTATGTATGGAGACAACAATTATTGTCAATTTAAATACATTAGGGCGTTAATA